CCTTGGACACTCCTCAAGATATGCATGCAACCTTTTTCTAAGATGGGTCTCACCACAGAGGCCTGTGAGTGCATAGCCACACTTATTATGGGGTGGGCCCCTCCTGTTTTGACCACCAAGATGCCCTCCTACTCATGTGTAGACAGGAAAGTCTTTCTTGACCTCGGGAGAAGGCACCTTATCTCTTTGCTTTAGCAGAGCTCAGCTTTCGCGGCTAGCTTTGTCCTTGGAGTGTCTGGGTGAGAATAAAGCTTGAATTCTAGTCCACTTGATAAACAACAGCTGTCTGGCCCAGGGGCCCGTCTATCTCCTACATCATGAGCTCTAGTATTTTCATTCAGCTCTCAACTCCAGTCTCAGCTTGTGCATGGGCAGCCCAGTTCTTGACCAAAACTGACAGGGAACCCCTGTTACGGGTGAAATTGTGCTCTCCGCAAAAGATACACTGAAGTCTTAGCCCCTAATCCTTTAAAATGTGACTTATCTCCAAATAAGTTTTGGAGATGAGGTTTTCATAGAGGTGGTTGTTGTTCTTCAGCTGCTAAGTCATGTCTTTCCAGCCCTATGGACTGCAGCTTGCCAGGCCTCCCTGTCCCTCACTGTCTCCTGGAGTGCACCCAAGTTCATGTCCTTTGACTTGGTGATGCTATCCAATCATTTCACCCTTCATAAAGGTAATTAAGCTAAAAGGAGGTCATCAGAGTGGGTCCTAATCCAACAGAACTAGTGCCCCTTATGAAAAAGGATATTGGGGGCTTCCTTGTTGGAGCAGTGGTAAAGAATCCACTTGTCAGCGTGGGGGACATGGGTTTGATCACTGGTCTGGGAAGATCCCACATGCCTTCGAGCAACGGAGCCTGTGTGCCGCAACTGTTGAGTCCGTGCTCTAGAGCCCGTGTTCCGCAACGAGAGAAGGCACCACAGTGAGAAGCCAGTGCACCGCAGCGGAGAGGAGCCCCCTCACCACAGCCAGAGAAAACGCCGCAGAGCAACGAAGACCCGGCACAGCCAAAAATCAATCAATCAATCAAATATTTTTCAAAAAGGATATCAGACAGAGAGACATGTGCACAGTGAGAAAGCCACATGAAGGATGAAGGAAGAGATCAAAGAAGAGAGCTTGAAGCCAATGGATGTCAAACAGTGATCAGTGGGAGGCATAAGAGATTCTCCCTCGCAACTCTCAGAAGCCACCAACCCTGATGACACCTTGATTTCAGGCTTCCAGCCTCCAGAATGATGAGAGGGTGAATTTCTGTTATTTAAGCCATCCAGTTAGTGGTCCTTTGTTAAGGCAGCCCCAGCAAATGAATATGTGCCCACACAGACTTTGGGAGCCCCCCTTTATGGGACTCCCTCCCCACTGGCCCCTAACCCCACAAGTTCCATTTGCTCTGGCAGCTCCGAACTCTGCTCTTGGCTTCTTCAGCTCAGCAGGACACCCAGACTCTTCCTAGTTCCCACTCTTTTGTGTTGCAGTCAAGACATTTGTCCCCAGGCAGACAGCTCGGGAGAGCTGGGCTCACTTTATGTGTTTTCCTTCTCTGAGGAACTGCAGTTGTGCAGTGCCTATGGTCCAATGCCTAAAAACAGTTGTGCATTTTGTCTAGTTTTGCAGCTGTTTATGGTGAAAGGCAGCTCCAATATTTGTTACTGGCCAGAAGTGAAATTTCTGTTCTAAGTTCTTTGAATCTATTCTTTTAATCTTCTCAACAACTCTGTGGGAGTAAGTTACTGTCCTCATGAGTTCTAGATTAATAAAAAGAGAGAGAGAGGCAAAAAGAGAAAAGATTAAATAACTTGTCCAAGAGTATACCTTATAAGTGGTGGAGCTAGATTCTCAATCTAGGCAGTTCAGCTGCCAAGTCCCTTAAACATCAGCCTATTGCCTCACATAATAGGTGCTCAGTGAGTGCACCTATTTTGAACAAGTGAATAGATAGCTGTTTCTTCCACCTTTTATCTATTTGCCTTCTGTCCCACCTGTTTAGGAAAATTCCAACATTACATCAGCCCAGTATCTTCACTTTTTCTGGAACCAGACTTTTAAGAATGCTGCGGGGGGTGGGGGTGGGGGGACATACTTCTCGGAACAATAGACTTTTCTGAAGAATAAACTCTTATCTAGTTACCCAGGGCTTTGAAAATACCTAATAATTCTATGTGTCCCTAGTGTTTGCCCTCCATTTTCTGCTTATTTTCACCTCCGGTTTCAAACATCTGTACCTCTGTACTTGTTATTTTCAAGAAAAACACAATTTCCAGCCGTGAACTGTCTCTTACTCATTCCTATCAACCTGACTTGTACTGGCACCCATTCTTGCCTTTTCCTCTACTGTCCAAATATTTAGTGTTTCTCTGCCTGTCTGAGGCTTATCCACTTTTAGCTGCTGCCCTACATCTTCCTTCCCCTTCACAGCCAAGCTTTGCAAGTGTTGTTTACACCCTCTGTCTACATTTCCTCATCTTCCTTTCACCCAGCTCAATCTGGTGGCTGTACGTATAACTTCATTCATTTATTAATGTCAGGTTTATTTTTATCAGTTTCACTCTTTTGCTTTCTTTAAATGTGTTTAATCTTTTTTCATTCCTTGATTTGAATGCTTCATTCATTATTTGTTCTGTTTATTAATATGAATATTTAGGATCACGAAATTTCCCGTTTTATCTGTGTCTTATACTTATCCGCAGAATTCCTTCCTAAATAGTTTTTTTTTTCTATAGAGTTTAAAATTTTTGTTTTGGTTTTCTCATTGATCCAAAAGTGTTTATCAGAAAATTAAAAAAAAATTTTTTTTAATAATTTTATGTATTTGTTTTTGGCTGTGCTGGATCTTTGTTGCTGCGTGGGCTTTTCTCTAATGTGGCAAGCTGGGCTACTGTCTAGATGCAGTGCACGGGCTTCTCTTATTGTGGACCATGGGCTCTAGGAGCTTGGGGGTTCAGTAGTTGTGACCCCCACCCCCAGCCCTAGAGTGTGCGGGCTCAATAGCTATGGCACACGAGCTTGGTTGCACCAGAGAATTATAAAACTTCCCCAAAGTAGAAATAATATAAAGTAATATACTCTTTTCAAAACGCCATAACATAGATACCCCCAATTATAAAACCAGAAAACAAGAGACTCTACCACACAGAAGGGTCTAAATTTTCTGGGGCTTCCCTGGTGGTTCAGTGGTAAAGACTCTGCCTGCCAATGTAGGGGACACAGGAGGATGCTACATGCCTTGGAGTAATTAAGCCTGTGTGCCCCAACTACCAAGCCCACACAGATGTGATGGCTTCACAGCCCAGAACATCCTGAGGAGCAGAAGAGTGATTTCCCTTGCTCCTGAGTGGGCAATGGAAATGGGGCAGAGAGAGAGAGATGTACAGGCATGGAGGTTGGGAAAAGATGTTGCAACCCTTGTTAATCAGTGAGCTGGGACCACATTATGCAACAAGATCTCATTTGATGCCAACAGCATGGACGAAAAAAAGTGCCAGCTCCTGTGCCTGGCACCAAGTATGTTCCCCACCCCCACCCCTGGTAAAGGAAGGCCACATAATTGAGATATAATGTCTACCACCCATTTGCATGGACTTCGAGAAGAAATTTAGTTCAGTCATAGAACAATTTTGTACACTTGTCCCACAACATCTATAGCTCCTGCTGAGATCTCTCTGTGAGTTCTAGAACTTTATCCAGGTTAGATTAGATTTTTCAGTTTCAAGTTGAGTATGCTCAAAACAAAACCCATCTCCTCACTTCATCTTACCCTCCTCACTCCCCAACTAAAACCTATTCTTCTTCTCGTCTTCCCTGTTTTACTAAATACTATCGATGTTTATTCAGTTGTCTAGGACAGAAACCAGGGTGCTGTGCTGGGAGGTGCAGTTCAGGAAACACTAAAAATTAAAAGCTAACTAAGACATCTCTTCCAGGGTTTCCTTAGTGGCTCAGAAGGTAAAGAATCTGCCTGCAAATCAGATCTGAAAGAGACACGTGCACCCCAATGTTCATTGCAGCACTGTTTATAATAGCCAGGACATGGAAGCAACCTAGATGCCCATCAGCAGACGAATGGATGAGGAAGCTGTGGTACATATACACCATGGAATATTACTCAGCCATTAAAAAGAATTCATTTGAATCAGTTCTAATGAGATGGATGAAACTGAAGCCCATTACACAGAGTGAAGTAAGCCATAAAGATAAAGACCATTACAGTATACTAACACATATATATGGAATTTAGAAAGATGGTAATGATAACCCTATATGCAAAACAGAAAAGAGACTCAGATGTATAGAACAGACTTGTGGACTCTGGGAGAAGGCAAGGGTGGGATGTTTCAAGAGAACAGCATCGAAACATGTATATTATCTAGGGTGAAACAGATCACCAGCCCAGGTTGGATGCATGAGACAAGTGCTCAGGCCTGGTGCACTGGGAAGACCCAGAGAGATCGGGTGGAGAGGGAGGTGGGAGGGGGGACCGGGATGGGGAATACATGTAAATCCATGGCTAATTCATTTCAATGCATGACAAAAACCACTGCAATGATGTAAAGTAATTAGCCTCCAACTAATAAAAATAAATGGAAAAAAAAAAAAAAGAATCTGCCTGCAATGTAAGACCTGGGTTCGATCCCTCGTTGGGAAGATCCCCTGGAGGAGGGCATGGCAACCCACTCCAGTATTCCTGCCTGGAGAATCCTCATGGACAGAGAGCAACCTGGCAGTCTACAGTCTATGGGATCGCAAAGAGTTGGACATGACTGAGCGACCAAGCAAAGACATCTCATCCTAGGACCACTCATCTATATATAGTGGCTTCGCTGGAGATTTCGTTTAAAGATTAGGCGTGCTTTTTAAAATAGTTTGAAAAATCATTGTAGAAGAGGATGCAATAAATGGAGCAAAAGAGACTAATACTTCCAAACAAGCCAAAGCCACTGAAAAGCCTGGGGGCTGGGGAAGGGAACTGGAGAGGTGAATGGCCAAAGGGAGGCAGGTTCAGGAAACATCATTTGTTGGCTGCTCTGGTCTTCATCCCAGTCTTTGTTCTGAGGGCTGCGGGGAGGACAAAGTCTGAGCCTCATGAAGAAGGGCCCAGGGAATCAGATTGCCTGCTGCTCCTTCCTGGACGAAACTCACTGCTCTCCATGGCTCATCAGGAACCCAAGGGGCCTGATGTCTACCAGGAGAATTTTGAGCCCACATCCTACCTGGACTATTACAAGATGAACCAGGATCCCATTGGTGACGAAGTCCTCCATTTCCTGCTAAAACACTACAACGCTACTTTTAAACCAGGTGCTGGTCTTCCTTAGCCCTGGGGGAGGCTTGTGGGAGGAAGGGTGGCCATGCAAATTTTAAATCAGATGCTGGTTTTCTTTCATTGTAGGGCAGTCTTCGAGTGGGAGTGGGAAAGGATGGCCAGACCATTAATAGCAACTTGGGATCTTCGGAGGGTGTGGCTCTGCCCTACAGGAAGATTTTAGTTTTTAAGAAAATTTATTTATGTATTATTTATTTTTGGCTGCACTGGTTCTTCCTTGTGGCATGCGGGCTCCCTCTAATTGCAAGGAGCTGGGGCTACTCTTCAATGAGGTGCACAGGCTTCTCACTGCGGCAGCTACTCTTGTTGCAGAGCATGGGGTCTAGGCACGTGGGCTCAGCAGTTGCAGCTCAAGGGTTTAGATGCCCCACAGCATGTGGAATCTTCCCCGGTCATAGATTGAACCCGTGTCCCCTGCATTGGCAGGCAGATTCTTAACAACTGGACTACCAAAGAAGTTAGGAAGAGTTTAGATACACTTGATGTATGGTACATGGTGGCATCCTCTCAAAGTTTCTGAGGTCAGATTTTCTCTTCCCATAAAGCCTGAGAGCTGTGGTCTTTGACGATCCTGAGTAGGCCTGTCTTCTCCCTATCCCTTGCAAGGGAAACCTGAAGGGCATCTGAAAGTGTAGGGAAGCTTTGCTTCTTGTTTGGGGTGGGCTTTGCCCTTCTGCCTGATCATCACTGTGGCCCATGCAAACATCGTGGGTGGTTGGCTCTCAGATTTTCATTCCCCTCCCCACCCCGCTCACCACCGCCCCAGGGAAGTATACTGCTAGGCTGGCTGGACCACTAAAATCAAATACTGGTATCTTTTCATCATTCACATGAAAAGAAAACATAACCCAGTAGACAGAATTTCTCCAATTAAAATTTTCTGCCATCAAATTTTCTTAAGCCTTTGATGCCTACTTCAATTTATTTGCTACTGTACCCTACAGATACAACAACATACAGATAAACAAACGTAGCAGCAGATTAGCTGGCTAACCTCAGCAATCAGTCAGGACCAGCTAGTTTTCTCTCCTCTTGGCCTTGTTGTTTATCTTGGAAGCCCCTTGCGTGCATGCTCCGTTGCTCAGTCAGGTCCAACTCTGTGCGACCCCACGGACTGTAGCCCACCAGGCTCCTCTGTCCATGGGATTCGCCAGGCAAGAATACTGGAATGGGTTGCCATGCCCTTCTCCAGGGCATTTTTCTGACCCAGGGATCAAATCCACATCTCTTATATTTATCTGTATTGGCAAGTGGGTTTTTTTTGTTTGTTTGTTTGTTTTTTACCACTAGTGCCACCTGGTAGCCCCTTGCCAAAGTCCAAACACTACTGATATTTTGTGCCAACCAGTCTCTTGTGGATAGAGAGAAACAAGACAGGAAGGGGAAGCCAAGGGGTCTTCACAGGTCCTGTTTTTTCCTTTTAGTCCCCAAACTACCAAGCAAGTTTCTGGGAATACAGTTGGTACTCAATAAATGTTTGCTGATTGATCTTTGGAATGTTATGGATGGTCTAATTGGGGCCATAGGGCACATCAACAAAGAACTCTTGGAACAGGGAAACCAGTATACTCCAAAATTGAATCAGATTTCTCCTTTGGACACTTTTTAAATATTTAGTTAATTTATTTATTTCATTACCACGTGTGGGATGAATGTGGCATCCCACATTGGAGTTTCAGCTTTAGCATCAGTCCTTTGTTATACACTTGAAACTAACACAACATTGTAAATTAACTATACCTCAATTTTTAAAAAGTAAAAAAGAAATCATAGTTTTAAGCAGAATAAGAAACTAATGTACAACTTCAACCGTCTTAGTTGCAGAGAGCAGGGGTACTCTCTAATTATTGTGTGTGGACTTCTCGTTGTGGCGCACAGGCTCTAGGGCACACAGGCTCGATAGTTGCGGCTTGCGGGCTTAGCTGCCCCATAATATGTGAAATTTTCTGGGACCGGGGATCAAACTGTATCCCCTGCATTGGCAGATAGATTCTTAACTACTGGACCACCAGGGACGTCCTGGACACTTTACAGTGGTAAACTGGTAGGTGAAATGTCAAAGCTGGTTCTTTAACACCCTACCCTCAAAGAAGCTCCCTTGCTCCTAACACTCCCCTCCTGCAAAAACTCTCCATTCTCAGTGCGCTGGAGCTCTTAGCACAGCAAAGTTCCCAGTCCTGGAGTTTACATGCCCAGATGGTCAACTCCCTGTAGCCTCTCCCAATGGAGCAAGAGGAGTGGACCCTTTTGGGAAGTGTGGACCTTGGAGCCCTACCCAGGTACTAATGATTCAGAAAGAATACTCCTATTCTAAAACAGGTGGGCTGGAAGGAAAACTTCTGGTTGACATTGGCTCTGGGTCCACCATCTACCAGTTCCTCTCTGCCTGTGAGTCTTCCCAAGAGATCATCGCCACTGACTACACAGACAAGAACCTCCAGGAGCTGGAGAAGTGGCTGAAGAAGATGCCAGGGCTGTTTGACTGGTCTCCAGTGGTGAAATACGTGTGTGAGCTTGAGGGGAACAGGTAACGGGGTTGTTGCTTGTTGTCAGATCTGCATGATCTTCACTTAGCTCCTAACCAAGAATTTCCCATGGAGTTCGTGTACAAATGGCAAGGCAGATGGAGACTAAGCAGGAAGGAAGTCAGTGGAACCCCAAGAAGAAAGGAGGAAGAGTGAGCTATGAATCCTATAAAGACCAAAAGAGGGAACAGGAAGAGCCAGCTAGAGACAAACCTGGAGCCAGGAAGAAATATCACCAAGCTCCACAAGGAAGCTAAGGTCTGAGCCCAAGCAGGAGAACCCTCTCTGCTGCCTGCTTTCTGATTGGCTGGTTTGTTCCAGTTACAAGGTCCAGGGAGCTCTAAACTTGTGGAATCTTTTTGTGGATCCCAGAAGATAAGGGTTAGAATTGAGACAATCTTGCATGGCAAGTGGAACAGAATTTACTTACCTTGTATATTTTCATTTAATTTCAAGTCACCAGGAAGGTCCACCATAGTCCTTCCACTCCACAAATATCACCCTCCCTAGTTAAGACGGTTGAGGTTGCACATTAGTTTCTTATTCCTTTGGCTTAAAACTGTGATTTCTTTTTTACTTTTTAAACATTGAGGTATAGTTAATTTACAGTGTTGTGTTAGTTTCAAGTATATAACAAAGGACTGATGCTGAAGCTGAAACTCCAACACTTTGGCCACCCCATGCAAAGAGCCGACTCATTGGAAAAGACCCTGATGCTGGGAAAGATTGAAGGCAGAAGGAGAAGGGGCAACAGAGGATAAGATGATTGGATGGCAACACCGACTCAACAGACATTAGTTTGAGCAAACTCCGGGAGATAGTAAAGGACAGAGAGGCCTGGCGTGCAGCAGTTCATGAGGTCACAAAGAGTCAGACACGACTTAGTGACTGAACAAAAATATGATTCCACACACATATACTTATATGTACATACACACATATATATATTCTTTTTCAGATTCTTTTCTATTATGGGTTATTTAGGTTATTAAAAGATAGAGTATAGTTCCCTGTACTCTAAGTAGGTCCTTGTTGTTTACCTATTTTATGTACAGTAGCGTGTATATATTAAGACTACGTTTTTTAAAAAATAGAGAGCTGGAAAGAGTAGTAGGCCTTTAAGTGCTAGCACTTATTCATACTGCAGGATGCATGTGGCCCACATCCTGAGAACGGGTATAGGTAAGAAGGGGATGTGTGAGTCGAGGAGGTTGAAGGGAGTGGCCAGGGCCCCCTCCGCAATGTCCCCCAAGCTCACACTGTAGTTTTGCTCTGCTGATTCCAGGCAGACGTTCTGTTTCTGGGGCACTTGCCGGGTCATGTGACATACGGCCTAGCAGAGAGAGAACGGGCTAATCGCCAGGGGCGCAGGGCCGGAAGGGGGCCCCTGACCCGTGACCCCAGGGTGGGCAGGCACTGGGCTTCGCTTTGTCCCCAGCTGGTCTCTCTACGGGACTCCGTTTTCTCATCTCTAGAACTGGCAGCCTGCTGCTCTGGGAGCCCGGCCGGCAGGCAGAGAATGGCCGGGAGTGGCGGGAGTGGTCCGCGTGATGAGCGTGACCCAGCCGGCCTCTCTCTTGGCCGAGGAGGAGCGCGTAAGGAGAGCCATCGCGGGTACTCAAGTGTGACGTCCTGAAAGAGCGGCCCCTGGAGCCCGCGGTCCTGCCGCCCGCCGACGGCCTCATCTCCTCCCTGTGTCTCGAGGCTGCCTGCCCCACCCCCCAGGCCTGCCGCCATGCCCTGCGCCACCTCAGGACCCTGCTCCAGCCCGGGGGCCATCTGGTGCTGAGCGGGAGCTTCAAGACCGCCTTCTTCATGGTGGGGGACAAGAGGTTCCGGCTCTGCCCCTGAACGAAAATTCCTGCGGGGAGGCCCTGCAGGAGGCCGGCCTCATCATCAAGAAGCTGGAGAAGGTCGCTCTGGCGGCTGAGACCCACTTCGGTAACCGCAGTGACTATACAGGGCTGATCTTCCTGGTGGCCCAGAGAGGGGACTAGAGGGGCGGCCTGGAGGAGCGGGTGGGCGGGGGCGGGCTTGGGGCCATCCCTCTGCCACCTCCTTCCTCTCCATTTCGCCGGCTTCACTTCTAACGCTTGCTGGTAAATGATCGCCAGCTCAATCGTGATGCTTCTCCCAGAGAGGTTTATAATGTATTCATTCCACTAATGGCCCTGGGCTGGGGAAAAGAACTGGACCGGAGAAGTAAAGCTGCGTCTCCTTCCTTTTGAAGGCTCCTTCAGGGTGGTGTGGAATGAAGTGGGACGGTCCCTTCCTGCTCTCTGATTTTAAGCAATTCGGACTGCACGCCTTCTGACCTCCCTCTCCACCTCCATCCCCATGCCTGCTAATCCTGCAGCCCTGCCCCTTGAAATGGAAAGCACACGCGTGGATTTTGATCCTTGGCTCTCTGATTCACTTGCTTTTGTGACTTTAGGTGGGCACCTAATATCTCAGAACCTCAGTTTCCCCATCTCTGAAATGGAAAGCATCACACCTCTCCCCAGAGTTTCTGTGACACGCAAAAGGTATAACGTGAATACTTTTGGTAAATAACCATGTGAGCAAGCTTGTGTGTTTTTTAAGCTTGGCTGACCTTGTAGAGACCTTGTCACAGGATGTGATAAGATGGCATAAGGAGTTCTAAAGAGAAGAGAAGTTGTTTTCTTTCGATGTCCAGTGAACCCCACCTAACCCTGTCTGGGGCAGGGATGGGACGCATGGGAAAGACTTTTTGAGGGAAGTAGGGAGCAAATCGGTGAAAAGGTGACCAAGAGTAAGCCAGGTGAAGGAGTCAGGGTGAAGGGCAGGAACTTCTGGTACAGGTACTGAGACCCAGAGGGGAGACAACATACTGTGCTGGGTGAACTTCAAGAAAAACTGAAGACAGGGACTTCCCTGGTGGTCCAGTGGCTAAGACTCTGCACTCCCAAAGCAGAGGGTCTGGGTTCGATCCCTGGTTAGGGAACGAGATCCCACATGCCCCACCTGAAGATCCTGCATGTTGCAATGAATATTTAAGATCCCACATCCTGCAACTAAGACCTCGGGCAGCCAAATTAATTAATTAATTAAAAAAAGAAAAATTGAAGACACTTGGGTCCCAAGGTGGGGCTCTGTCCCTTGAGGGACTGCTGATACTACATGGTATGGTAGAACAGGCCAGTGCTCAGAGTGGGGGAAGGAGTGTCAAATCAGTGACGATGGGTGGCGTTGGAGGTGGGCAAGCAAGCAATTTAGTCATTCAACAAATATTTGTTGAGTGCCTGCATCCAGCTGGACACCATGTAAAGTGTCAGAACCTTTGCCTGGGGCTGGTCCTCACACTAAGCATGGTTGCAACATCGAAGCCCTTGATCACGTTCTACCCTAAGTGTGTATCTGGAGTATATTTTTTTGTGTATGTGGGCATGTGCACATGCGTGTGTGTGTGTGCATGTATGTGTTTGTGTGCCAATCATGGTAGTAGAGGTGGGTCACATCTATCCATGGAACCACCATAAGAGTGGTCAGTGAGGTTGACTCCCAGAGGCTAGTGAAGACTAGCTCCCAGGACTTGCCGGCAAGTCGATGGACCCAGAGGCTGAGTGCTGACACCCCATGCAGGGTGAGCTCCAAGTATCCACTGGAGTGTGTGGCCTGAAAGCTGAGCTGGGCTGGGAAAGCATCAGGCAAAGAGCAGGTGGGTGGGCATACGGGGCAAGTGTCTGGGATGGGTGTTCTCGGCGGGACTGAGGTGCCCAGTCTCTGCCTCCCTGTAGGAAGTGTGGACGTGTACCTGGGCAACATTCTTCTGGGGCCCTGGTGTCAGTTACTAAGTAGCTTCATGGGCTGCCTGTGAGTGGGCATTTGAGTGGCTCCATGACTTCCCTGGTGGCTCCTATGGTAAAGAATCTGTCTGCAAAACAGGAGACCTGGTTCCATCCCTGGATCAGGAAGATCCCCTGAAGAAGGGAATGGCATCCCACTCCTGAATTCTTGCATGGAGAATGGACGGAGGAATCAGGTGGGCTACAGTCCATGGGGTGGCTAAGAGTCAAACATGACTGAGTGACTAATGCTTTTTACTTAATGTGTGTGAGACATGACTAGTGACTGGGGAGGGTTTACAATTCGCTGAGACAACAGGCTTCACACTTCTGTTAAGCACCCATTGAGCTGACACAGGGCCCTAGGACAAGGCAGCACTAACTGGGAAGAGGAATAGTGATGAGAAGCAGAGATAAAGGAAGGATTAGTTCCTGCTTTGGAACCAAGGAAGGTTTCAGGAGGAAGTGCAGACAAGATGCATTATAAAGGAGCATGACGGTTGGAAAGGCATTTCCCCTGGAGGAAACAATCCTGTTACAAAACCTGGCCTTGGGAAGATGCATCACCTTCTCCAGTGGTGACGTTTGTGCTGCCTACAGGGTGGGCTCTCTCCTGCAAAGCCAGGAGGGCAGTTCCTGGCCTTGGGCTCTGTGAGTCTCTCCAGGGCTAATCAGAGTTCATCAATAAATATTTATTTAGCATCTGCCGTCTGCCAGGCACTGAGAATGTGAGAACAAATTTGATACAATTCTTGCCCTTGTGGGGCTCACAGACAGTTATGACCCCATTACAGAAGGTGAAGGCACAGAGAAGGAAATGCCCAGTTTAGGGGAGACTAGGGAAGCATCATGAAGAGGTAATGTTTATTTTTAAAAACTATTTTTACGGTCGTCCAGTGACGAAGACTCTGTGCTCCCAATTCAGGAGGCTCAGGCTCGATCCCTGGTCAGGGAACTAGATCCCACATGCTGCAACTTAGACCCAACACAGCCAAATAAATAAATAAATATTTTAAAAAATGTATTGGAGTATAGTTGCCTTACAATGTTGTGTTAGTTTCTGCTGCACGGCAAAGTGAGTCAGCTACATGTACACATGTGTGCATGCTAAGTTGCTTCAGATGTGTCCGACTCTTTGCAACCCTATAGGCTGTAGCCTGGCAGGCTTCTCTGTCTGTGGGATTCTCCAGGCGAAAATACTGGAGTAGGTTGCCGTTTTCTCTTCCACGGGATCTTCCCGACCCAGGGATTGAACCGGCGGTTCTTATATTTCCTGCATTGACAAGTGAGTTCTTTACCACTAGCACCACCTGGGAAGCCCAGGAAATGAACATGAAAGAGGAAGTCTCTCAGTCGTGTCCGACTCTTTGCAGCCCCATGGACTATACAGTCCAAGGGATTCTCCAGGCCAGAATTTTGGAGTGGGTAGCCTTTCCCTTCTCCGGGGAATCTTCCTAACCCAGGAATTGAACCAGGGACTCCTGCATTGCAGGCAGATTCTTTACCAGCTGAGCTCTCAGGGAAGCCCATACGTATACATATAGCCCCGATTTTTTGGATTTCCTTCCCGTTTAGGTCACCACAGAGCATGAGTCGGGTTCCCCGAGCTACATAGTAGGTTCTCATTAGTTACCTATTTTACATATAGAATCAATAGTGCGTATACATCAATCCCAGTCTCCCAATTCATCCCACCCTCCCCACCTTCCCCCTTGGGGTTCATATGTTTGTCCCAAAGAGGCAATGTTTAAACTGAGCCTTGGACTAACCATAAGGACCAGGTTGCCAAGCAGACAGTGAGGTGGAAGGGGCGGTGGGCTGGGGTGTTGAACGCGTTTCAGGAGGAGGAAGCAGCTCGTCCCTGATGGGAACTGTGGGCAGACATCAGGCATCTTGGGGGAACCTTGATCAGGAAATGCATGTTGCATGGTTGCTCCCTGCTGGGCCTGTTCTGTATCTAGGGATGCAGTGATTGAGTCCAACAAGGCCCTGCCCTCAATCTCCTTGCGGCAAGGGGGGTGGGGAAGTAAAAGTGAAGTCTCTCAGTTGTGTCCAACTCTTTGCCACCCCGTGGACTGTAGCCTACCTGGTTGCCATTTCCTTCTCCAGGGGAGCTTCCCGTTCCAGGGATTGAACCCGGGTTGCCCGCATTGCGGGCAGACACTTTACCCTCTGAGCCACCGGGGAGGCAGGCAACAAGAGTGGGCCAAAACAGCGGTGTGAGAAGCCCCGAGAAGGAAATAAACAGGACGATGCTGTGGAGAGTAACTGGGGCAGAGGGTGTTGGGGGGGACAGGGCAGGCGGTCCTGCTGAATGGGAGCCCCTGAGTGGGGGGTGCCCTTGGGGAGAAGGAGGTGGGGGACCAGTCCTAGCCCAGCTTTGGACGGTTTCCCTTGTCCTTCACTCTGTGGACACAAGGGGGCAGCCGAGACTTGAGCTTGGCAGGCAGCAGGGCCAGTGGGGCTGGAGGACTCTTAGTTCACTCTTGCTTGTTCACCGCCCGCGCACTGTCTGAGCCTGCTCTCCTGTCCAACCTGACCGCTGCATGGGGGAGTCAGGAAGAGGAGGCCGCTCCCAAGACAGCACCCTGACTTTCACCGCCTTCACTTAACCGTATATAATTATGATGGCCCTCCCCCTCCACCCCTACCCCACTGCCCCACCTCACCCAGAGCCGAGGCTGAGGTCCAGGAGAGCTGATCAGATCTGCTGCATCAGAGCCCGACTAGAGACAGCGCGTAAGTAGCCAGGATGACACACCAAAGGAGGGGAACCCCAGCTGGCCTCTGGAAGGGAATTCTGGGGCTTCTCTGCGGTAATGAAAACCTCCCTGAAGCCCACGAAGCTGGGGTAAGAGAGCCAAGTTCAGTGGACAGGACATAGTAAGCCGGTCGGATCCATCCAACAGCTATTATTGCATGTGTTAGGCCTTGCTCTAGTGCTCGGAGTACAAAGGGAAATTGGACATAGAATTGGATTCAGATTCTTCCCAAAAGTTCACGATCGTGTAGGCAAATGGCCATTGTAACATAGCGTGGTAAGTTGAGTGACCGTTGTGCAAGACTCAGAAGTGCATTCACCTAGACCTGGGGGTGGGGTGGAGCCTTCCAGAGATGGCTTCCTGGAAGTAATGCCCAGGTTCAGGATAAGAAGGTTTAACCAAGCAAAGGTGGAGAGGGCTTTTCAGGCAAGGGAAAAGGGTGAGCAGGAGACCACAGTCAAGAAACCACACGGGAGGCTCCCCTGGTGGCTCGGTGGTGGAGTGTTGGCCGGTGCAGGGGACACGACACGGGATCCATGCCTGGTTCTGGGGCGAGCCACACGTCTTGGAGCAGCTAAGCCCATGAGCCATAACTATAGAGCCTGTGCCACACCAGGAGACTAGCCCCACTCGCCACAACTAGACAAAGCCCACACTCAGCAACGAAGACCCAGTGCAGACAAAGATGAATAAATATTAGAAGAAAAAAAAATGACATGGAAGGGAGGTTAAAAGAAGTTCCGGTGTGTCTGAGAGCGTCCCAACTTCACACCCTTTAACGCTGCAACCATCTCAACAGGCTCAGGCTCCAGACCTGCCTCTTGCCTACCTCTCCCGCCAGTCGAAGCGGCTTCCTGAACTGTTAAGTACATTTCCACAGGTGCTTTGGGGAACTGAGGTTTTCTAGGCCAGAGCCTGCAGGATTAGGGAAAACTGAATGCTGGAAAGAGACGAGGT